AATTTTCAAAATTAGAAGTATATGAAGATGAAGTTATCTAGGCAGGGATGTTATTGTCCAATGTTTGCTTTCTTGTTTTGTACTTCTCTTTAGTTAAAAAAAAAAAAAAGTAATTTAATAAATACGTAAAATGAAAGGCAATGTGATAAGAATCTCTAAGGGAAGAAGACAAATAATCCATTTCTCATCTCCTGTGAAATCAACAGTGCTCCTGAAGGTGGAAATCCATCTTGTTCTTGCAGTTGAGGCAATTCAACACATATTCAGCATGAGCACTAGGGTAAACTCTGGCAAAAGAATACAATCCAGTTATCTTTTGCAGTATAATTTAGTAGCTTAAAGCAACCTTTTATTGTGTTCATGAATTTCCACTTAGGGTAGGGCTTGGCAGGGACAGCTCATCTCCACTCTACCTGGGCACCCACTGGAGTATTTTGATGGACATCTGGAGGATTCAGACCTGCTTTTAGAACAGCTCACTCACATGGCTGGCAAGCTGATACCAGGTGTTATGTGGGGGCTCAGCAGGTACTTTAGTTTCTCTCTTACACAGGCTTCTCCTAGTTGTTTGGGCTCCTCACAACATAGCACAGTAGCTAGCCAGGCGTTGTGGCGGGTGCCTATACTCCCAGCTATTTAGGAGGCTGAGGCAAAAGAATCTCTAAGCTCAAGAATTTCAGGTTACTGTGAGCTTTGACGCCACAGCACTCTACCGACATAGTGAGACTCTGTCTCAAAAAAAAAAAAAAATAGCACAATAGCTAGGTTGTAAAGTGGGTATCTCAACAGAGAAAGGTAGAAGTAGGCGCATGCCTATAATCCTAGCACTCTGGGAGGCTGAGGCAGGTGGATCACCTGAGCTCATGAGTTTGAGACCAGCCTGAGCAAGAGCAAGACCTCGTCTCTAAAATTAGGCAAGTCAGCTCAGAGCCTATAGCTTAAGTGGCTAAGCCATTATTTTAGCAACTACTAGAAAACTGAGAATTTTTTCATTTACATTTCCATGAAGGTCAAGAAAATCTCTTCTTTTTAGTAAAATTCTAAAACGCATATATTTATCTTCATTCACTTCCATCCTCTGTTGCTATTACCAGTAAAAATCCTTAAAAATGAGATTGTGTCAAATACTTTCAGAGTAAACAAGGTAAAGGAGAAGCTGAGACACCTGCACCCTGTTTCAAAGAAGGGTTTACGAGCAGAGAACAAAAGATTACACACACAATGGACGTCAGAAAAAAGATGAATCAAACTCCTGAGGCATGTAGGGAAAAAAAGGAAAGAAAAGGAAAAGGTCTAGAAACCTGCCCACACTCTGCCCAGATGCTATACCATAGGCTCTCTGGACCTGTTCTGATACAAATAGCCCACCCTTAAGCTGAAGTCCTTTACCCACATACTAGAGATAGAAATGGCTCCAGAAATCATTTAATCCAGTGGTTTCCAACACTTTCAAGCATAAGAACCTCTTTTTAAGGGTAAAAATCCTGGCTCAGCACTTGTAGCTCAGCAGCTAGGGCACCAGCCACATACACCAGGCCTGGTGAGGGCCTGCCTAACAAGAATGACAACTACAACAATAACAAAACAGCCGGGCGTCGTGGCGGGCGCCTGTAATCCCAGCTACTCCAGAGGCTGAGGCAGAAGAATCGCTTAAGCCCAAGTGTTTGAGGTTGCTGTGAGCTGTGACGCCACCGCAGTCTACTGAGGACGACATAGTAAGATTCTGTCTCAAAAAAAGTAAAAATCCTGTGGACATCCATATGACAATTGTGATTTTCATCATCTAGTTTTTGAGAAAAATCAGCAATGATTCAGTACCATGAATTGACTAACACTTCTACTAAATGTTATTTGTATTTTTGTCACAAGGGCATTTATATGCAATAGTATGTACATAAGACATTCACCCTGGATGAAACTCTCAAGAAGTACTAAATACATGACCATCACTAGTAAATATGAGTAAGATGAATTTGAAAAGACTGAGACAAGTAATTTTTTTTTTTTTTGAGACAGAGTCTCAAGCTATGCCCTGGGTAGAGTGCCATGGTGTCACAGCTCACAACAACCTCCAACTCAGACTCAAGCGATCCTCTTGCCTCAGTTTTCTTATTTTTATTAGAGATTGGATCTCACTTTTGCTCAGGCTGGTCTGGAACTTGTGAACTCAAGCAATCCACTTGCCTTAGCTTCCCAAAGTGCTAAGATTACATGTGTGAGTCACCATGTCCAGCCTGGGACAAGTAATTTTTTTTTTTTTTTTTTGAGACAGAGCCTCAAGCTGTCCCCCTGGGTAGAATGCCGTGGCATTACAGCTCACAGCAACCTCCAACTCCTGGGCTCAAGCGAGTCTCTTGCCTCCGCCTCCCAAGTAGCTGGGACCACAGGCGCCCGCCACAACGCCCGGCTATTTTTTGGTTGCAGCCGTCATTGTTGTTTGGCGGGTCCGGGCTGGGGATTCAAACCCACCACCTTAGGTGTACGTGGCTGGCACCTTAGCCGGTTGAGCTATAGGCGCCGAGCCGGGACAAGTAATTTTTAAGGACTTCATTTTCAGGTATGTTACAATAAGATTTCTCCTACTGTGTTTGGGATTGGACTCATCTCTTCCAACACACATTCTATAATTCTCCTATAAATTATTTAAGACATCTTCCCCTTTAGCTGGGCATGGGAGGTCAGTGGTTAAGGTCCTGGCCACATTCTTCAGGGCTGGTGGGTTCGAACCTGGCCGGAGTCTGCTAAACGTCAACAACAACAAAAAATAGCCAGTCATTGTGGCGGGCACCTGTAGTCCCAGCTACTAAAGTGGCTTAAGCAAGAGAATCACTTGAGCCCAAGAGTTTGAGGTTGCTGTGAGCTGTGATGCCATGGCACTCTACCAAGGGTGACAAAATAAAACTCTCTCTCAAAAAAGAAAAAAAAACTTCCTCTTCTTTTTAACTTATGTCTTAATGATTTATCCTGGTTTTATAACATAGATACATATTCCTCTTTTATTTAAAAAGTAAAAATCATCTTCCTTGTTAAAGATAATTTTATTATTACATTTAGCAGTTATCACAATAGAAAAATGGCTTATTTATTGTTAGACAGACAGCCTAATGAAAACTATTTTAAATCTAAATTATTTGCTTTTGGCAATTATTCTCTGAAAATCTATATGTGATAACTACAGTCTGGAAATTATCACAATAGTTTAAAAGTCCTGATGGCCGCTCTGCAAGCTTTTATTCCCTACTCAGGAACTCCCAGGACATGGCAAACAAGCATTTGTGCTTTCAAAGCCCATAGACTACATGGGGAGAGAGTGTAGGAGAAAGACACCCCCTGCAAAACAGGAATACCAACAGCTTAGAGTTAAATGTTTGCAAAACAGCTGCCAAGTTGATGAAAACCCAAGTAGCCTTCTTTTGCTTAGCTTATCATGAAGATGGCCATTTCCTGGTAAACCATATCCAAGCAGAGAACCCAAGACAGTAATGCAGAAGCTCTGGCAAGTTAGAAGCACTTTGGAAAACCTAGCAAAGGAAGGCCCTAAAAGACGAGGCTCTTATATTAGTCAGGGTTGTCCAGAGAAACAGAACCTACAAGAAAGATATATATAATAGAGACATAATAGATATAGAGGATATAGATAGATGTCTAATAAGAAATTAGCTTATGCAATTATGGAGGTTGAGTAGTCCCAAGATTGGCAATCAGCAACCTGGAGACCGAGGAAAGCCTATGGTTTAGTTCCAGTCCAAATCCCAAGGCCGGAGAACCAAGAAAATCAATGGTGTTAAGTTCTAGTACAAGACCAGCAGGTTCAAGGGCTAAGGTCTTGGTTAAAGTCCAAAGGCTGGAGAAGACTAATATCTCAGCTCAAGTGGTCATACAGGAAAATTACCCCCTTGCTCAGTCTTTTTGTTCTAGTCAGGTTTTCAATTTTTTTTTTTTTTTTTTTTTTGAGACAGAGTCTCACTATGTCCTCCTCAGTAGAGTGCAATGACATCACAGCCCACAGCAACCTCAAACTCTGGGGCTTAAGTGATTCTCCTACCTCAGCCTCCCAAATAGCTGGGACTGTAAGAGCCCACCACAATGCCCAGCTATTTTTTTTGTTGCAGTTGTCATTGTTGTTTAGCTGGCTTGGGCTGGGTTCAAACCTGCCAGCCTCGGTGCATGTAGCCAGCACCATAATCACTGTGCTACGGGTGCCAAGCCAGGTTTTCAAATATTGAGTGAGGCCCACTAACAGGAAGAATGGCAATCTGTGGCCAGGCACAGTGGCTCATGCCTATAATGCTAGCATTCTGGAAAGCCAAGGCGGGCAGACTGCTTGAGCTCATGAGTTCAAGACCAGTTTGAGCAAAAGTGTAACTCCATCTGTACTAAAAATAAGAAAAAATAGCCAGGCAGTGTGGCAGGTGCTTGTAGTCCTAGCTACTCAAGAGGCAGGAGGATTGCTTGAACCCAAGAATTTGAGGTTGCTGTGAGCTACAATAATGCCACTCTACACAGAATGACAGAGTGAGATTATATCTCAAAAAAAGAAAGGAAGGGCAATGTGTTTTACTCAGTCTACATATTTAAATATTAACCTCATCCAGAAACACCTTCACAGACACATCTAGAATAATGTTTGACCATATGTCTGGATTACCGCTGGCCCACTCAAGCTGATATATAAAATTAATCACCATAGTTGACTTGACTCTGATTTGCCTTCTCTTTCTAGCTAAGAAGGGGTTGAAAAGAATTTAAAACCTAGTGATAGGAAGCAGAGGAAAACCAACTCTTCACTAACAAGTACCTTGAAGCTCTTTTCTTTTTTTTTTTTGAGACAGAGCCTCAAGTTGTCCCCCTGGGTAGAGTGCTGTGGCATCACAGCTCACAGCAACCTCCAACTCCTGGGCTCAAGCGAGTCTCCTGCCTCAGCCTCCCAAGTAGCTGGGACCACAGGTGCCCGCCCCCGCCCTGGCCCCCAGCGCCCACCCGGTCGGCCCGGCCCAGCCATGATCAAGGCGATCCTCATCTTCAATAACCACAGGAAGCCGCGGAAGTTCTACCAGTCCTACAGTGAAGATACACAACAGCAAATCATCAGGGAGACTTTCTATTTGGCAGCTAAGAGAGATGAAAATGTTTATAATTTCCTAGAAGGAGGATTTTGATAATCTTAATCTTAAGCTGTGTAACTTACTGTTGTGACCTAAGGAGTTAAATCTAATTAATTGGAGGATCTGACAACAAACTGATTTATAGGCGGTATGCAACGTTATATTTTGTCTTCTGTGTGGATTCTTCAGAAAGTGAACTTGGCATTTTAGATCTAATTCAAGTTATGCATCTGTGGCAAGAATACCACAGAAGTGATGTTATGTCCTCAGTCCTTGATACCAAGAGGTATTCGTGGAGACATTAGACAAATGTTTTGAAAATGTCTGTGAACTGGATTTGATTTTCCATGTCGACAAGGTTCACAATATTCTTGCAGAAATGGTGATGGGGGGAATGGTACTGGAGACCAATATGAATGAGACTGTTACACAAATTGATGCAGAAAATAAACTGGAGAAATCTGAGGCTGGCTTAGCAGGAGCTCCAGGCCGTGCTGTTTCAGCTGTAAAGAATATGAATCTTCCTGAGATCCCAAGAAATATTAACATTGGTGACATCAGTATAAAAGTGCCAAACCTGCCCTCTTTTAAATAAAAAATTCAAAAGGCCACTCCCAGGTAAAATTCAGGGGGAAAAGTCATCTAAGTTTACCATGCAGTTGTTTACCAAAAATAGAGAAGGAGAGTCTTAACTTTTGCTCTTGGATTTAAGTCAAGGTACTGTATAGAAATTATGTAAAATCAGTATGGAAGTTCAATATCACTTTTCTTGCTCATTGATTTTAAAGACGTTGAGTAGTTCCTGTGTGTGTGTTTTTTCTTTTCTAAACTGCATTCCTATGGCCACCTAAGGCATGCCTGTATGTACTGGCTTCTATAGTATTTCAAAAAGTATTTGAGATATTTCTTTAATTATGTACAACCCTAAATGTTGGTGTTTTATATAGATCACAAGTGCAGCTTTCCTTAATTTATTCTGCTATTTGTTACACAATTGTTATTTTAAAAAACCAAGTATGTATTGTGTGAAAACATTATTACCTTTTTCTCTTAGCTTAAATAAATTCCAAGGTAACTGGAAAAAAAAAAATTCTATACAAATAGCATCTCAAGATATAAAACAGAAGCAGAATGAGGTTAGAACATTCCTCCTTGGAAAAATGATCAGTTCCAGGTCTGAGAGGAAAACATACAAGAGAGGTCTGAAATATCTCATAGAAATGGGAAGCAAGGACGCTACTGCAGTCTGTTAGTCTGTCAAATGGACCCAGGAGCCAAGATAAAGAGGCTTCCGCTGGCCAAAGCTAAGTCAACATAACATCAATAACGAAAATAATTCTAATGAACTAAAATACATTCACTACATTTAAATCCATGAGTTGATAATAATATTAATAAAACAAAACAGGCTCAGCGCCTGTAGCTCAACCGGCTAAGGTGCCAGCCACATACACCTAAGGTGGCGGGTTCGAATCCAGCCC